AATTTCACCTTCTGTGTTTTACTGTGATATATTCGGTAGAGCTTTGTGGTACCAAAGTCCAGCGCGGACCAGCTCAGTGTAAAATATGGACATTGTAAACTGAAAAAACAAGCGCGCCCTCAAACAGAAGAGTTTTTGAAAAACAAATGTTTTGTGTTTTTCATGGATACACGAATTTGAGTGATTTAACTATCAACACACAATGGTGTGATTATGTTAGAGCTTTTAAATTAAAAGTAGCACAGTTAGAATGTTCAAAATTCTTGGCAACATCACAATGGCAGACAGCAGTAGTATGTACGGTCGTCCACGAGCTGGTTTTGAAAAAACTGGTGAAGTCATGAAAAGCAACCTCGTTGCACTGCAATTTCCATTATCTAACAAAAATAGCAGAATGTCATTTAAACAGAATTCAATCCTTGTTTAGAGGACATTCTAATAAAGAAGTACAGCTAAATTGTTCTACTAATGTTACGATTCACATATTTTTAGATGGACTTTCTTATGAAGATAATGTTTGTCGTATAATCTGCTTTTAATATATGTTATATTAACCATAACCACTTACACATTATTATAAGGGAAATAGTAAAACGTATTTTAAAGCGAATAAAATCCTTCCTCAAGCCACATTCTAATAAAGAAAGAAGCACAGTAAACTAGCTGTTTACTGTGAAAGAAGTACAGATTAATATAATGATAATTGTTGGAAAATTTTTTTGGGTAAGGGTCCTTATTTTGAGAAAAACTACTTTTTTAACTTGCCGACGTTTCGGTAATTTTTATTACCATCTTCAGGGCACTGTAAGATATAAAATTATGATGTGTAACACTTGTAAAAAATGTAAATAAAAAAAAAGTGTATATAATATAACATGTGGTACAAACAATAAAAAAAGTTATTAAATAAATAAATGGATATATGCACCTACAAACATACACAAAACACGTACAACGTATAAATAGATATTAAAAATCAGAACATATTAACAATAATTAAAAATATTTAAATATACTTTTTTAGGGCATCTCAAATTTAATTTAACATAATATCACACTTGGTAAAACTACATATGCAGTGAAAAATAATAAGTACTTACATTAATTATGAGTTTTTCCTGGTCACCATAAAATATATATAAAACAGGAAACAAACAGATAAAATCGTTGGGTATTAAATTAGTGTACTTATGTAACATATATACACATATATATATCACTTATAAAGGTACAATTAATTATCAGACTGTAATGCGTGTAATGGTAATGACACGAATGTGAATCTTTCTAAACGTTAAAGTATGCAAAACACATGAGAAGGGATAAAAACCATCATAGATAATAAAAAAAAAAAGAAAAAAAAAAACGATTATTTGCAATAATGGCAAGGACTGATTATTTGTTTAATATTTCGTAAATAATGCATTTTAAATTATAGCTATTTTTTACCTAACTTATTAATAAGATTAAAATAACACGCGTTTAAGTTCTCAATGTCTTTCTTTGAATTAACTGACTTAATTTTCTTTATATTGACCATTTCTTGAAATTTTCTCTTTTCAAGATTATGCTGTCTACCTACTATTGTTGTTTCATCAAAATTAAATTCGTGATTTAAACATTTGCAGTGTTCTACTAATGATGTTGTGTTTATTTTATTTTTGTTTTTAACGTCTCTCATGTGCTCTTTCTTTCTGGTTTTTAAGTATCTACCTGTTTGGCCTATATAACTTTTTTCACAATCCTTGCACGGTATTTTGTATATGACATCTGACTGTAATTCTTTTGGTGTTTTCACTTTTAAATTTGTAAAGAAATTTTTCTTTGTCGTATTTTCACTCTTAAATGCAACATTAATTTTATCCGTGGAAAGTACCTTCCTTACTTTCTCAGAAAGATTTTTAACATATGGTAATTTGTAATATGTTTTTGTGCCTGAAGGTGAGGATCTAGTTGATAAGCTGTTATTATTGTTATTTATTATTCTGTTAATTAGTGAAATTGGGTATTGATTTTTTATTAGATAATTTTTTATTAGTTGTAAATTTTTTTATTGTGAAATTGTGGGCTTGATAAATGAATTGCTCTATATTTTAAGTTATTAATGATGTTTAATTTGTTTTTAATAGAATGTTCGGAGTTAAAATTTAAAAATCTCTCTGAGAAAGTGGGTTTGTGGTACCAGTCCACGAGTAATACATTATCAGTTGTTCGTATAACTTCAACATCTAAAAAGGATAGTCTATTGTTATTTTCAATTTCTATTGTAAATTGTAACTTTTCATGGAAGCTGTTAAACACGTTTAATAGTTCTTCTATTTTTGTTTTAGGTATTACCAGAAAAAATATCATCCACATACCGTTTAAAAATAGGTACTTCAAAAGACAATTTGCTTAAGCAGACTTCTTGTAAGTGAGACATGACCAAATCTGAACAAACAGGAGACATACAATTCCCCATACCTAGACCATATATTTGCTTAAAAAATTCCCCATTAAAGTTGAAATAACTGCTTTCGGTGCAAAAAATTAAATACTTCTAAAAATATTTCTAAAGAAATTGTTGTATGGTTTTCAATCAAATGCCATCTATCTTTTATAATGTTAATCGTTAAATCAATGGGTATGTTTGTAAATAGTGATATCACATCCAGGGATACCAATATATAGTTGTCTGGAACTGTTTGTCTTTTAATGAATTCAGCAAATTCAAAAGAATTTTTAACATATTTTTCATCTTTTGTAAAAGCAAAATTTAAAATATTACTGACATATTTTGTTAAATTGTACACTGTACACCGAATTCATTAAAAGACAAACAGTTCCAGACAACTATATATTGGTATCCCTGGATGTGATATCACTATTTACAAACATACCCATTGATTTAACGATTAACATTATAAAAGATAGATGGCATTTGATTGAAAACCATACAACAATTTCTTTAGAAATATTTTTAGAAGTATTTAATTTTTGCACCGAAAGCAGTTATTTCAACTTTAATGGGGAATTTTTTAAGCAAATATATGGTCTAGGTATGGGGAATTGTATGTCTCCTGTTTGTTCAGATTTGGTCATGTCTCACTTACAAGAAGTCTGCTTAAGCAAATTGTCTTTTGAAGTACCTATTTTTAAACGGTATGTGGATGATATTTTTCTGGTAATACCTAAAACAAAAATAGAAGAACTATTAAACGTGTTTAACAGCTTCCATGAAAAGTTACAATTTACAATAGAAATTGAAAATAACAATAGACTATCCTTTTTAGATGTTGAAGTTATACGAACAACTGATAATGTATTACTCGTGGACTGGTACCACAAACCCACTTTCTCAGAGAGATTTTTAAATTTTAACTCCGAACATTCTATTAAAAACAAATTAAACATCATTAATAACTTAAAATATAGAGCAATTCATTTATCAAGCCCACAATTTCACAATAAAAATTTACAACTAATAAAAAATTATCTAATAAAAAATCAATACCCAATTTCACTAATTAACAGAATAATAAATAACAATAATAACAGCTTATCAACTAGATCCTCACCTTCAGGCACAAAAACATATTACAAATTACCATATGTTAAAAAATCTTTTCTGAGAAAGTAAGGAAGGTACTTTCCACGGATAAAATTAATGTTGCATTTAAGAGTGAAAATACGACAAAGAAAAATTTCTTTACAAATTTAAAAGTGAAAACACCAAAAGAATTACAGTCAGATGTCATATACAAAATACCGTGCAAGGATTGTGAAAAAAAGTTATATAGGCCAAACAGGTAGATACTTAAAAACCAGAAAGAAAGAGCACATGAGAGACGTTAAAAACAAAAATAAAATAAACACAACATCATTAGTAGAACACTGCAAATGTTTAAATCACGAATTTAATTTTGATGAAACAACAATAGTAGGTAGACAGCATAATCTTGAAAAGAGAAAATTTCAAGAAATGGTCAATATAAAGAAAATTAAGTCAGTTAATTCAAGGAAAGACATTGAGAACTTAAACGCGTGTTATTTTAATCTTATTAATAAGTTAGGTAAAAAAATAGCTATAATTTAAAATGCATTATTTACGAAATATTAAACAAATAATCAGTCCTTGCCATTATTGCAAATAATCGTTTTTTTTTTTTCTCTTTTATCTATGATGGTTTTTATCCCTTCTCATGTGTTTTGCATACTTTAACGTTTAGAAAGATTCACATTCGTGTCATTACCATTACACGCATTACAGTCTGATAATTAATTGTACCTTTATAAGTGATATATATATGTGTATATATGTTACATAAGTACACTAATTTAATACCCAACGATTTTATCTGTTTGTTTCCTGTTTTATATATATTTTATGGTGACCAGGAAAAACTCATAATTAATGTAAGTACTTATTATTTTTCACTGCATATGTAGTTTTACCAAGTGTGATATTATGTTAAATTAAATTTGAGATGCCCTAAAAAAAGTATATTTAAATATTTTTAATTATTGTTAATATGTTCTGATTTTTAATATCTATTTATACGTTGTACGTGTTTTGTGTATGTTTGTAGGTGCATATATCCATTTATTTATTTAATAACTTTTTTTTATTGTTTGTACCACATGTTATATTATATACACTTTTTTTTTATTTACATTTTTTACAAGTGTTACACATCATAATTTTATATCTTACAGTGCCCTGAAGATGGTAATAAAAATTACCGAAACGTCGGCAAGTTAAAAAAGTAGTTTTTCTCAAAATAAGGACCCTTACCCAAAAAATTTTCCAACAATTAATAAGTCGGTCTAAAAACTTTTCTATTATATAATGATAATGTTACAATTCATATATTTTTAGATGGACTTTTTTATGAAGAAAATATACGTTGTTTGGACGATATGTGATGTTTCATGTTTGGTGAGCTCAGATATATTTTTATCGTAGAATTCACGAAAACAGCTACTGAATGTAGAAGTATGATTTTATTAGATTAAATAATGGCTTCGTGGTCGAGTGGGAAGGACACTTGTCTTTCACCCTATCATGATTGCTTTCTTTTTGTTTTGTTTGTATATATATTTAAGTGCGAATGAAATAGAATGAAATGTAGTAGTCCTAGTATTATACGAAATAGGAAATAAAAGTATTAAAAATTAAAAAAATTGTCCCGGGTTCGATCCCCGTCCGAGGAGCTACAATTTTTTCTAAGCCAGAAATTAATCCTAGCATATTTGGACATTGTGTGTGTTCATTGTCTCTAAATGTGTAGCCGCCGCCCGCACAAGGTACCTTGTGATACTTTTAGGGGACAGGGGACAGAGGACCGTATTGCTTATGTTTAATTTCAATTTAGTTAATAGTATTCTTAGTATTAGAAGCAAAAAAGTTGAGAGATTAAAAAAAATTTTGACTTGACAAAAAAAAATTACATTTAAGAACTGATTCCCTTCAGTTAAAATACAAAAAAAGAAAAAACTCTAGAACGCTATTTAACATCTTTCAGTCTTTCGGAACTCCTCAGATGGCTGGTAAACAAACATATCAGTTAAAAGTTATATTCTTTGCTCGAACGGGAATAAAACAGTATTTATTAAAACAGTCTCAAAACAGGCGTTTATTTCTTTAGGAATTAAATTCGCATGGAAACCAATGAACAATACAAACCTAACGTCCAATTGTCATAAACTCTAAAAAATGCTATTATTTGATCACGCATTTTGTCATTGAAAACACTTGATCACAGAGGCTCAACGTGGTTTGTTAAAGACAAATCAACTGTTACAGACCTCTTTTATATGACAGAATTATTAACTGATGCCATTGAAGAGAAATTATAAGACGACTGACATCTAGAAGGCCTTTGACATAATTGGCTATAATTATACTATTAAATAAGTTGATTGATTTTGGTTTCTCCCATGACTTCCTGACGTTTCTAAAATTTTATTTTTCAAACAAGATCCAACATGTAGTATATCGTGGTTGCAATTCTTTCGAGGTGCTACTTCGGGCGTTCCCCCAGGGATCGAAAAAATATAACCCAGTGTCTTATTCCATCAACAAATATTTGATACATTTAGATTATTCTCTCGATAATAACATACTCTTAAGACCTGAAACTTTCTGTGATGTGGGAATCATTTTTTATAAAAAGTTGACATTTAGTTGTCACATTATTTATATTGCCACAAAGAGTTACAAAGCTTTATAATTCATCATCAGAAATGGCCGTAACTTTCAAAATGTTGATAAACTGAAACTACTGCAGACCACCTTTGTCCAGGTCATGCATCGTAGAGTGGCCCTCGAATTGCGCACAAGTTAAAAAAGAAGTGGCCAGTATGCGGTAGAGACAGTAGATGCCAAATCCATTGCGCATTTAAATCTAAGGAGCCATGCTACGATGCGTAAGTTGTAATATTTATCTTGTCAAATATAAATGTTCATGAATTAAGTGTATGCTTATATCTTTTTTTATTGTTCCTATTCTGTATTTGGGTTTTTCGACCTATTCAATAGTATAAAATAAATAAAAAAAAATAAATAAATAAATAAATAACGTAACGTCAAAATTTTTAATTTGTCAACCTTCTAATGAAGTAAAAAACAAAAAACATTATGAACCATAAAATATAACTTGTTTGAAATTAAATTTGTAATAAACGTCAAATAGAAATACCGGGTGTAACAGGATCATGGTACACCCCCTAGTCTCCTTTAGTTTTGAAGATAATTGATTGAAATTTGGGACATTCTATATACATAATAATATATTCTGACATACAAGTAATTTTTTTCATTTCCAGTTTCGTCGGAAGTGACAATAACTTTCGATTTTTTTAATGGAATACCCTGCATATTATTGCATTTTTGAATTTTGCATAATTTTCTGAATCCAACAATACTAAATATGTGACATTTCAAACGTTTTCGATTTAAGTGTACCATGACGGTTCTGAAAATTGTATTTTCTTATTTTTATTTAGGTGTAATCTTGTTTGTATTTATCGTAACTTCAATACGACATATGAATAAATTCCTTATTAATAGTACTAATAAATGGTACCACGGCACCAATATGATTACGTTTGAAAAAATTTAATTTTTCCCCAAAAAACCATTTTGAAGAACTTTATTTGCTCATAAATCACGTAATTTAGTATTTTTGACGGGATTTGGATTTTTTTAGCATTACAAGGGTTATTTAGAATAAATCGGAACCGTCATGGCACATTTAAATGAAAAACTAAAAATTATATTATAAAAAAATATTGACGTTTGATATGTTACTTATTTGGTATCGTTAGATTCAGAAAATTATGCAGAATTCAAAAATGTGATAATATACAGGGTGCTCCATTCAAAAATCGAAAGTTAGTGTCACTTCCGGCGAAACCGAAAGTGTAATAAAATCACTTGTATGTCAAAAAGTGCTGCTTATTATGTATATAAGTCTCAAATTGCAATCAATTACCTTCAAAACTAAAGGAGAAAAGGGGGTGTACCATGATCCTGTTACATCCGGTGTTTAAAAAAATGATATTAAACAGGAAGTTAAATACTAAAGTATCTAGGTAAATTCGGAATAAAATACAAAAGATTCCTGGCCAATTTATTATTTTTTAGTTTTTACATTTAATTTTTTTTGCAATAAAAATTGTGCCAGTTTATGCAAAAAATATCGGAACTAAAGTGTCTTTGCGTGAATGTTTCCCTCACTGGGATGACCATTTGTCATATTTATTCTGATATTTTAAATTGATTGATTGATTCTACCTTTGGTAATCACAATGAAAATCATGACATCTAACCTAAATGTCAGATTTTTTATAATACCTGAGGGCGTATCGTATGTATTATAACTATTAGGATCCAAATCTGCAAAAAAAAACACAGGTTGAACCATTCAATAATTTAATTTTCATGTAATTTGCATCGAAACCGAGAGTTGGCCATTTTGACTGTTCATATCACATAATCGGAAATTTTATCTCACATCACTACATCAAATTTGAAAAAATCCATTCTCTCAATTAAATCTTATAAGAGTATCCCTATGGGCTGGGCAGCCCGATATTACAATTTTAATTATTTTTAATTATTGCGTTTTGTTTTTAAAGTTGATGTAATAGATCTTGTATAATTTCGGATGAAATAAGTTGTCATATCAATAACAATAGGCATATTGACTGATTGCAATACCAAAAAAATTTTGAAATCTACTATAATTTATTTTAAATTTATTAAGAAGTGACGCCTATTGTAACAACAAACACAAAGCTGTTTTACCCGGCAGAAAATTACTGAAATGAAGTAATGTCATAATAACTATTTTGTTGCGACAAACTAACATGCTTTAAAATATGAAATATTAAAATAAAAATGTTATAAGGAAATAAATAAGGAAAACCTTGTAAATAAAACGAATTTCCTAAAAGATCAAATCCTGCAAAAAGTGCTTTTGTCCTAGCCTCAAAATAATTAATTACATAAACGAGAGTAAATGGCCAGTGACCAATGCGATAAGGTTGTAAACAAGTATATTAATTTTTTCATATTAAAAATTATTTATTATACCTTGTAAAAATAATGTCAAGTAACTTTATTAATAAATATTGCGAAAGAATGATAATGGCCAATTTATCAATAAAATTTTGAAAGTACTCAAGTTTGTATCAGATATCCTTAGACAAAGATATTTCGACTTAGTTGTATGCAAAATTGCTGTGGTATCGCTACAGAAAATTTAATTTGAATTTAATACTTCTTGGTGTTCATGCGACTTCTTTCTAATAATTTACCTAATATTAAAAGATTTCTGGTTAATACATTAATAGTTTATATTTTCAAATTAAGAAGATAAGGCCACAACGTTTTGAAAACAAAATATACTTGTAATAATTTTCATAAAAAGTTTATCCACATTCATTTTAAATAATTTGTTCGTAAAAATCTCAAATCTTTCTTAGATTTTAATATTTAAATTTTAATCTAACCGAACTTTATTTAATTTAAAATTTATAGGATGACCCAAATTCGAAGCTTGCCGTTAGTATCTCGCTAAACTGAAGAAATAGCGGGCATATTGATATTTGTCACTTTTAGATTATGGATTATTAGATGGAGGCGAGTTTTATGTTTATTCACACTCAGGCCTCACTGGCTCCAAAATGAAGTAGCGGTGCTTCTGCTATTCATCAAGCCAAATTGTCACTTTCATTAAAGATCAAGAAATCGTAAATATTTTACTGCGAACAAACTTAAATCACCTAATTTCTGCAAAAAATATTTAACATTAAGCTTCTTTAATTAAAAGAAACAATTTTCACTACTAGCAAAATAGTCTATCAAATTCCAAGAAAGTAACAGTTTTCAACAATATGTATCAATTTGTTTTCATGGGCAATAATAAAAAATTAAAACAGAGTTTTTATCGTCAAAATTGATCTGCGAAAACCGCACTTCGATGGCTCTTTCGTCCCAGAATGTTTTAAGATGAAAATGGGTCAAAATATAGCTGGTCATCCTATATAATTCCATTACCGAACGATTTTATCTCGTTCGGTAATGGAATTATTAGGAAAAGTTAAATTAAGAAGTTGATTAGAATGCCGGAAACTCTCTCATTCCTGAAATTTCGTTAAACAAATTTTTTTTTTATTTTATTTAGAATACATTTCATATAAATTTTGATATTTAAATAAAATGGTGTGACTCAAGTAAATATCCGCAGTCGGAAAAGTCCGATTGCAATCATTACAACACAACTAGTTTCATCTAATTCTGAAGATGATTGGATTTTTTTTTATTATGTCACGCTATAAACTGACCAGTCACGTCAGGTCCGCTCTAAGCATCTAAAGATTGGTTGGCAAAATGCTCGTCGAATATAATGTGTTCTGTTTTGGTGTTCGTGGGAGCTATTTCGTGTCATTTCCATTTAGATATTATGAAAATAAGAGTTGTGTATGTTATGGGTTAAATTAACGTTTTTCTGCTATTTGAAAGATCGATTTAACTGTTTCAAGTGAATAAATTGATAGTAGTGAGCCTTATTACAGAATACAATAAAGATCACTACTATCATTGATTCACTTGAAGTAGTTAAATTAGTTTGAAAAAAATACACCAATTGTTGGACATTTGCATAACAATAATTATTTTAAGAGTAGAAACCAAAATTGTTGCCCTGTTA